AGGAGGTGGCCCTTCATGGGTGCCACACTTATGATGATACCTACCTGTATATAATGTCCATTTGTGAATAATACCTACCTGTAAATAATGTCCACTTGTGACAAATACCTGCATTTAAACAGACAACCTGTAAATGATGCCCACTTGTAAATAATGACCACCTACATAACAAAATACCTGTATTTAAATAATGTTCTGTATGTACATATTGTGAAAAATACCCTTCGGTCAATATATATGTATATCTATACATATGAATAGTATGTCTACCTGTAAATAATGCACACCAATCAATAAATGTCCACTTGCGAATAACATGAAAATCATGCCTACCTGTCAATAAAATCAACCTGCTAAAAACCACAAACAATACATTTTGCCCACCTGGCAAAAAGACCAAATTATGAATCGTACCTGAGTACATATTGTGGACAATACCAACCTGTAAATGAAATCAGCCTGCACAAAACACAAACAATACGTTATGCCCACCTAGAAATATTCCAAATTATAAATAATACATCAGTACATATTGTGGACAATGCCTACCTGTACATTATGGCCCCCTGTGATAAGTACTAACCTGATGATAATGTCGATCAATTGATAATACTTACATGCGGATAATATCCACCTGTATATATAACCGCATGAAAATATTTATTCTCACCTGCCAATAATGCCTAATTTTCATTTTGTGCTTGATTGGTATTGATGTTTCACACTTCTGGTTGTACTCTGCGAGGATATTTCATTAGTATGCCCCTGAGACATCTTGATGAGGCAGAGCCTAAAGTTACACAGGTCATACACATCGATCAAATTGACGCCTACATGCATTGATTTTGAGTGAGTGAGTGAGTTTGATTTTACGCCGATTTTAGCAATATTCCAGCAATATCACGGCGGAGGACACCAGAAATGGACTTCACACATTTTGCCCATGTGAGGAATCGAACACGGGTCTTCGGCGTGACGAACCAACGCTTTAACCGCTAGGCTACCCCACCGCCCCGCATTGATGTGGAGATAACGGATCACAATCAAGATTATCTTGAGCTCGAGCCAAGGAAGGACGGTACAGTAAAGTAACTCTTCACTGCGCTGGACCATGTTTTCCCTCACATCAGTGCATAGTTCCCAAGAGGAAAATAACGGCACATATATCTGATACATTCGGAACACACCGGGCAATGAAAAGTATTATGTCATGATTAACTGTTCCCTTCCCCTCTCCCGTCCAACATATTCCCTTCCCACTCAACATACACAGACCCGTGAAGATCCGGGTAAGAATCGGTCTTCAGCAACCAATGCTTGTCCCTTGTGAAGATCCGGGTAAGAATTGGTCTTCAGCAATCAATGCTTGTCCCTTGTGAAGATCCGGGTAAGAATTGGTCTTCAGCAACCAATGCTTGTCCCTCGTGAAGATCCGGGTAAGAATTGGTCTTTAGCAATCCATGCTTGTCCCTTTTGAAGATCTGGGTAAGAATTGGTCTTCAGCAACCAATGCTTGTTCCTCGTGACGATCCGGGTAAGAATTGGTCTTCAGCAACCAATGCTTGTCCCTCGCGAAGATCTTGGTAAGAATTGGTCTTCAGCAACCAATGCTTGTCCGTCGTGAAGATCCGGGTAAGAATTGGTCTTCAGCAACCAATGGTTGTCCCTTGTGAAGATCCGGGTAAGAATTGGTCTTCCGCAATCCATGCTTGTCCCTCGTGAAGATCCGGGTAAGAATTGGTTTTCAGCAACCAATGCTTGTCCCTTGTGAAGATCCGGGTAAGAATTGGTCTTCAGCAATCCATGCTTGTCCCTCGTGAAGATCCGGGTAAGAATTGGTCTTCAGCAATCCATGCTGCCCTCGTGAAGATCCGGGTAAGAATTGGTCTTTAGCAACCAATGCTTGTCGTGAAAGGCGACCAACAGGATCGGGTGGTCAGACTCGCTGACTTGATTGACACTGCGTAGGTCGATGCTCATGCTGTTGATCACTGGATTGTCTGGTCCAGACTCGATTATTTACAGACCACCATCATATAGCTGGGATATTAGTGAGTGCGGCGTTAAACAACAATTCAACCAACCATCCAACAGGCCGCATACACAGACACACTAACACACAATCAAACACTCATGCACATATCAAACACTTTTCCACCACATATCTACTTATATTATTATAGTAATTACATATATTATGCAAGAGTCTAGGCTTCTATGACATGTTAAATCAAATAACTCCAGCATGTTTACCGTGCTGTCACACGTGTCAATTGATCGTTACAATCGTATATATTTACATTGTATATGTATGCTGAAACACAGGTACCCACGAATATTGTGTTACCGTTTCTTAAACATCTGTTTATGTTTACTTATAACTCTGGAAATCAATGAGTAAATAAACACCCGCATTCAAACCTATTCACATGCACAGACAGACATTTTGTCAACTAGCTAAGTGTTCAATGCTGCCGTTTGGTGTGTGTGTGTGCGTGCGTGCGTGCGTGTGTGTGTGAGAGAGAGAGAGAGTGAGACATTGACATTGGATAATACAGTGTATCTGTGAAGTGCACGGTTGGACCAGTTATCCGCAATTGCTATGATGGGTTGCGTCCCCTAATGGTACAAGGTTCCAGTAAGTGTGATTTAGAATTCTGATCAGTGATAGCATACTTCATTATTGGGAAGGATGTACATGACATCACAAGGTATGTTCTCTCAGGAAAACCTGATTTGCTGTATTGAAAACAGGGTCAAACAAAACTAACTTAGTCTCATTGCCCTGGCCCTTTCAATGCTTGGAAGATTCACTTGAAACGTCTTTGACCCAGGTCATAATGGCCATTCTTATCATGAAATACTTGATATTCCTTATTGTACATTTCATAATATTGAATTGTTTATTGATATATGGTCAATATATCCAGTAATCTATCAACAAATCGTTTCGTTTGATTTTGTTTCTCTTTATTCGCAATTCAAGCATTCATTCATTTGTTGATATATGCGTTTTGGTGTAGGTAGTGTCAGCAGTCAGAGTCTATTCAAACCAATGTTTTTTAACAAGAACAACGAACTGAGGGTATTAAACACTCAGGTATGTCTAATAATACCTATCTTGACCTATCTAAGCAAGCTTCAAGCGAATACAATAATCAAACGTCTCATTGAAAGCATTTTTCCAGGTGAATTTTTAATGAATATTTAAAACCATGAATTTTTGAAACCTAAACACCTTTAGGCAATGACATTTCCGCGACTTGTGGACTCAAGCACAACCAGACATACAACCTAAACTAATTGTCCACAACAACAAAAAATGGAGAATGCATTATTTGAATTTTATCAACAGTTCATTAAATCAACAGTTTATCTTTAATATGTACTTGTACAGCAAGTTATGGCATTGATCGCCTATGAATGCATCAACATGTGTGGGAGCCAGAATAGTTAAAAACGTTCGGTCGAAGAGTGAGTGAGTGAGTTTTAGTTTTACGCCGCTTTTAGTAATATTCCAGCAATATCGAGCCGAGGAACACCAGAATTGGGCTTCACATATTGTATCCATGTGGGGAATCGAGCCCGGGTCTTCGGCGTGACGAGCGAACGCCTTAACCACTAGGCTACCCCACCGCCCCTAAGGGAATAGAACAAAGACTGGTTGCATGGAGTCAATAAAATGTGTCTTTGTTGGGTATCCACATATGGTATAGCATCTGAAGGTTTTGACTATAAAACCGTTCCGTTCTTTACAAGAACAGACGGACGCACACACAGACACACACACACGCACACGCAATCACATACGCACACTAACACACACACCAGTGCATCTTTGTCGCGACGCATAATGTCATTTTCCCGGCCTCAGCTTACTGCAGTGGTTAACATTTACAAGTTTAGCTATTTTTGCCTTTCCACCCACAGCCGGACACGCAGTAATTGAAATACTCTTCAAGTCGTCCACTCTGATGCTCGAGACCACGACTGTGCTGTGACTAAAACGAAGTAGCTAGAGTAGATATATTCATTGAGGAAGTCTTCCTTGTCTGGGACAAATGTTGTGGAGCCAATCCTGTATCAACAATGGATCATAACTTGAATATCTTCCTCTATCTAACTGTGACAATGCAATGAAAACAGTGTATAGTCTGGGCTGTATGGCACTGACTAGGTTATTTGGGATTTTCCCCATCAATAAAGAGCACGGAATGAAATAAGTGAGACACATATACACTTTAAAAATAATACGCACACATACACACATTAGGATCGAAAAGTGACCAGTCTAATGTCAAGTATCTGATTGTGTATCACTGAAGCCGATGTTGTTGATTGTTGTACGTGCCACAGTTTTGGGATAACAACTTTACAAGCAGTCATTTGAGATCATTCCGAATGTCATCTATGAACACAGAAGAGGCTTCCCTGGATCTACCTCTGACAATAACAATAATGATAATAATAGACATAATGTGGACAAAAGCACCCACTAGCTGGTTTAACACAGGCGTCTATGTCACTATCACCGAGCCCTTCAAATGATATCACGGATATACTTTGATAGATATGTACTAAAAGCAACAATTGATAATTTATCACAGATATTCCCCTTTAGCTTCGTTCTTCGCGTAAGAATATTAAACAGATATATTAGAAAATGCATTTTCTATTAACATGTTTTCAGATTAAATATTCACAACCTATCGTGGATATATCATCATGTGTGACTGACTGCAGAAGATGATGTGTTCTACTTCAGACTTCTACTCAACGCCGCTGTCAGTAAAGTCATGCATGATAAGAACATCTTGTTCAAACTCATATTATTTGCTTTTTGTAGCCCGTATTGAACAGTTGAGGAGAGTTTTTTTTAACGAGGAGCGGGCTCAGACTGCTCCGTACTTAAGGGAACCGTCACAGCTATATTTACAGCTAAATCTACTTCCTCGTCTCCCGAGCGCAATCGCACGGCAGTGAGTACATATAAGCTGCAGCTTACTTCAGTCATGCAAGACCTCGCTCAAGAATAGAGCACTGTATCGCATTTGGAAAAAGAATACATTCTACAAAATGTCTGGAAATCATTTTCCGGCACTTTGTGGAATATTTGTTATACTGACATGTGTTTCTTCAAGTTTTATTAACTTTGAACCGGGATTTGAGTACCAGTACAAGTATGATTCCAACGCAATTGTGAAAAATCTTGGAGATTTTCAAGTATTAGCCAAGGTGAGTTCCTGAGTCCTATTTCATTTCCATAATTCTTATTTTGTATATGCCGACACAAAATGTACTTCCAATAAATTAAGAGGACTAAATATGAGAATGGGAATGCACGCCCAGATGTTTCGCGTTAAGAGGACAGCGACCTTGAGATAACTAGCAAAATACCCGAACACTGGAGGAGTACACAGTACATGTATTTCAGTTATTTATAGGTTTCCACCTTATTGTGGAACAAAAAGTGGTGAGAAGTGGTGCAGGTTTAACAGTTTGGGAATGGACACCCTGATGTTTCGCGTTAAAGGGGTTAGCGACTGAAAGAGAACTAGGAAAATACCCGAATACTGAGGGAGTTAATCCAGAATATTTCAGTTATTTGTGGGTTTTCAACTTATTGTCGAACAAAAATCAGAAGTAGTGCAAGTATAACGTGTGCTGAAAAATTGGAAATGACAATCGTGGCAAATCTGGAATTAGTAGGATTTTGGTACGCCTTTTGGAAACAGCTGTGAACGGATTCGTGGCCTCTTAAACCACTTAAGCTCAAGTGCCCATGTGCATGAATACGGCATGAGAAGACATATATGGAGTCCTCAATAGGTGCTACGTAATCACAACATAAAGGCATATAAGTAAAAGCAAAAATTTAGTATCATCAACTACGATCGTGATTAATCAAACAAACAGGTGGCACATTGTGTTTACACGTGTCAAGATGGAGACAGGCTACAGAATTGTAATTTATATAAATACGTTTAATGCAAGTTAATGTCGCTATTATAACTATATAGACGCGTAAACGCCAGCAAATACTTAGCGGTATCATGCCAAACGTATATATGCATATACGGTGGAAACATCCATCGGGAATATCATTTCATTTGTATTAAGGACGCTGGGGTAGCCTAGTTGTTAAAGCGTTCGCTCGTCACGCCGAAGACCCGGTTTCGATTCTCCAGATGGGTGCTATGTGTAAGCACATTTCTGTTGTCCCCTGCCGTGACATTGCTGGAACAGAGCTAAAATCGGCGTAAAACCACGCACACTCACTCTTCCTTCATTTGAATTATCCATCCAGATAGGATGATGTTTAAAGAAGGTTATACCCAGATCAATTTGCTTGAAGTGACTTTCATACCAGTTAAACATATCTTTGAAATCTGCGTCTAACACAGTAAAAGCAAATTACGTGACTGGAAGAACTCCCTTTAATGGTTAATCCTTTGGGAACAACGATCCTGGGCGACACGCTCCTTTGCTGACAACTTACAGACATGCTGACCGAGTGTCATGATTTTTATGAAGATAATTAGGGATGTGAATGCTTCAAATTCCTTGTTTACCTTCAGCCTACTGTCTGACCTTTGCATTTTTGTAAAACACGGGAAGCTCAAGCCTGTGCACTTGACAAAAATGCATATTAGCTTTTTACATATGTCGACAGTGTATTCTTGGAAACTCAGGCAGAGCTGTGTAACCGGATTTCCAAGTAGTCCCGATTTGTCTGCCATTCACCGGCAACAACTGCGACACGGAGACACGCCTTTTGAAACACGCATGATAATGAATAAGTAAAGGATCGCTTTTGTATGTAAAGCCCGAAGGACAGTGGCTCATCTCAGTTTGGTTTCACAAGTTACCTGTGATGATTTCGGTGCATGTTAAGGCCACAAACAGGAGACTTGTAAGACTTTTTTTCTGAATCAGTGGCTTCACTCTGGTTGCACTTTGATTATTATTGACGCTTGTGATTTGTCAACGTTGTGATTTCGGTGTTTAGTAGACCCCAGTATCAAACAGCCAGAGCGGACACATATGATCAGGTGCTGGATTGGGGCTAATTTCTTGACGAGAGATCACGGCTGCTTGTATCGACTACATCTTTGTTATCAGATCCTGGAGGTGACTGATTGGTGGCTATTAATACATCAAAAACAAATATTCTCGAACGTGAATGTATCGAATTCCCGGTTGTGTCCAGGAATACCAACTCACTTACTCAAGAGAGCGAGATAGGTGGTGAATTCGTCACACGTCGCTCCCTTTTTGTTCCTAGGTATGTCATTTCAAATAGGATCTCTCGTCCTAGTTACTAAGCAAATATTGTATCTCAGCGTGATAGGTTCTCAATAAATAACGTACATGCCTTGACACCCACAAGTGTTATAGGCTGGTTGACAAATCTATAGTGTGTATCGTTTGAAACTACATACATTTGCTTGGCTGAGTGAGTGATGAGTCACTGTTATGAAGCCCACTGAATACATGTCAAAGGTGAGATCTTTCAAGTAAGTGAGTGAGTGAGTTTTAGTTTTACGCCGCTTCTAGCAATATTCCAGCAATATCACGGCAGGGGACACCAGAAATGGGCTTCACACATTGTACCTATGTGGGGAATCGAACACGGATCTTTGACGTGACGATCGAACGCTTTAACCACTAGGCTACCCCAGCGCTCCTATTTAAAGTAGGACAAGGCCCAGTGGAATATGTTTCAATGGACAATCAAGACACAATATCTCACACCTATTCCCAAATCTGCATCTACACATACACAAAACACCTGCACCATCCCAATGTCTCTTTCACCTTCTTCAGCTGTTAATCGTGGCATATTTCTTGTACTTGTGTATCATATCATGCATTCTAGTCTCTCTTTATACCCTATCGAATCATTCTATACGTGAAATTGATGCAAATACTGCTTGAATATTGCTACGGTTCGGCGATTGATATTGTTGTGTGTAAACAGAAAATGGAAAAATGTTACTTTGCAAGCAAAAATGTTAACAAAGATAGTTTTTAGATGTTCCTAAACACTTTATCACAATATCAATGACTAATGCAAATCAACATAAAATGTTTTAAGAGACCGAAATCATAGGAATGATTCTTTTACAATTTTACACACTCTACAACAGTTGTTTCTTGTTTTAATAGTTGAAAAATGGTGACTATAAATTGTTTATCTTTGTCTCAATGCAGAAGTGTATTTCAACATTTATTTTGGACATCTGAATCACTGTTATTGGTTTATTTTGGCAGGGTCGAAAATAGGATAATTTAACTCTTCTGGAAAAGATGCATTTCACCTAAATATGAATGCACTTGAGAATTATTTTTCGTGATTTGCATAAAGCTGTGTTGTTAAGCTTTCTTCTAAACTAAAACCTTCTAACATGTCTTTGATAGTTTTTAAGTAATTCATAAAGGTAGGAGGGTATAGTTTCTTTTGGCGTCTAGTGTATATGTACACATTCCTCTACACCTACATCGACAATGCTACACCTTCATCTACGCCTTCTCATCTACTTACATCTACAAAAAACTCCACACCTACACCTTGATAACTTACACCGGCATCTACACACATATGTGCACATACACCTTCAGCTATACCTACCATGGAAGGTCCGGGTTAGAATGAACCTTCAGTAACCCATGCTTTTCGTAAGAGGCGACTAACGGGATGGGGTGGTCAGGCTCGCTGGCTTGGGTGACACATGTTATCGGTTCCCAATTGTGCAGATCGATGCTCATGCTGTTGCTCACTGGGTTGTCTGGTCCAGACACGATTATTTACAGACCGCCGCCATAAAGCTGGAATATTGCTGAGTGCGGCGTAAAACTTCACTCACTCACTCACTCACTCACTCATCTATACCTACATCTAAGAAGCTGCACCTTCATCCATGTCTAATCCTTATTCTACATCTACACATAAATGTACATCACATCAACATCCACATATACATCAACAACTATATCAATATAACATTTGTACCAACATCTACACATACACCTTCATCTATGCCTACATCACGCAGCTACGTCTTCATCTACGCCTGTTTACAGACTGCCACCATATAGCTGGAATATTGCTGAGTGCGGCGTAAAACTAGACTCACTCACTCACTCATCTACGCCTACACCTTAATCTACATCTACACCAACAGCTACAACTCCATCTACACCTACACTTAAATCTACATCTACATATATGGCTACACTTTCACTTGTAACTATATGTATAGCAACTCCTAAAGACATGTAATCCCGTTATAATTAAGATGTTATCCAAAAGGTCGGGAACCCAAACAACAAACCAATCAAGTCCATTTGTAAAATTAGATTTAGGACAGTAGTATCGCGGTCACACTGTGGAGTGTAACAAGCTCGTTTGTGATGCTACCGAATACAAACGCTGAAATTAATCTCCCAATTCATTCAGAGTGTCACGTAAAGCGTAATAAACATGCAATTGTCTTCCGTCTACAGCACAAGTCCGATCTAGGATTATGCTTGGACAAACACGCTGCTTTCATTCGAGTGGTCCCGTAGCCTATAATTTCCCATTAAGCAAGGTGATTACTTATGGGGTATCGTTTTCCTGATCATGACAATATCAATTGTCGACCTTAAAAATCATAAAATTAATCCTCTTTGGTAAAAATATGGCTCGACCTCATAGAAAATCAGTTGAGAAATCTGTTTAGTTTGAGGACTAATCACTTCCATGACAGCTGTGATCAGTAGTATGTAATATTGAAACTGGCAGGTATGCAGGTATACAAAGAGAAATCAGAATATGTCAGTTATGTAATATGAGTACTGTTGAGGATGAACTACAAACTTCTTCTAATCTGTCCTGTTTATACGACTCTACGAACAAAATACCTAAAGCCATACTATTATAAGCATCCAAGTGTAAGAACATTAATTTCACTATTAACAGATACTACCACATCAATATTACAGAATCTGGCAATGTACATCTATTTCGCTATGAGATTAAGAAAAAGTATTGTTACAGAAAAGAATTTATAAATGATTTCTATCTACTCATGTAAACTCTAAATGTACTACAGGCCTGTGGCCTTTTAAGTACTGAAATAAAGATTGATTGAATATGAGGTATTGTATGCTTAACTCTCGTGTATACGTATGTTAGAGGCCTTGTGAGTTCGTTTGAACCTACGTTGTGTTACCTGTAACGAAGGATAGGA